AGGCTGCCTGGTGGGCAGTTTGTGGTCCATATCTTCTATAGCCCTGCTATAAGGTAAACTGGAAAATAGTTCCATCACTATTTTTAAAAAAGAAAATCCCGTAACTCTCTACAACAAAACCCCAAAATGAACATGCACAATATCACTGCATTCAGACTGTGGCACTCAGCAGCCTCCAAATTTTTAAGTGCAGCCCTTGTCTAGCTCTTGATGTAGAAGTTAAATGACATGAGGGAATAGACTGACTTCTCTCTAGAAAGCAATTTCATATCACCACTTCCTGAAGTTAACCATTCAGGCTGAAGCACAGTCAGTCTAATATAGCACCTCTTTGATTCTAAGTATATAGCTTATTCAGAAGAATGGATAATGAGTTTTGTAAGAGAAAAGAGCCACCAAAATAATTCAAAGACTAGAACATCTCTTCCACAAAAAAGTCTACTGCACTTCAACCTTTTAGCTTAGAGTACAGCTACAAAAGGAGACACACAAGAGAAGACTGCAAAATCACGCACGTGATGAAAATGTGGACAGAGAAGTTTTTTCTGTCTCTCAGTGTCAGTCATCCATTAAAATGAAATGTGAGGATATTTAGAAATAAGTTAAAAAAATAATAAAAAGACATAAGCTACAAATATCCTGCCATTAGATGCGATGATGGCCACAAATTTGGAGAGACATTAAAGGAAATCAGAAATACTTCTGGAATATTCAGCTATCAGTGGCTTCTAGCCTTCTAGCAGGTATACCAACTCCTGAATCACAGGTAGCATATCTTAACTACCAATTGTTGGGAAACAACAAGGAAGGAGCAGCCAAACGTGCGAGCTTATCCAATGCACTGACTGGATCGATGTTCTAGAATGGATCTCTGGATGGATCCAACAAGGCTATTGGATTATGCTTTCTCTGTCTGCCTATCCATTCCATCCATTGCTTTTCAGATTTTTAAAATACTGCCTTTATTATGATTCTAGATGGTTAACATACTTAATACTTTTTCCTCCACCTATTTTCCCAACAGCTGTGTGAGGTTTTTTTTTTTTTTTAAAAAAATGCCATGAGCTCATCATACAATTTTGCTGTATTTCTTTTGTTCCACTTTTTAAAGCTAGTCAGCCAAAGATTATTTTCAAGTTCTTGAAAAATTATGATTTATTTTATCATTGATTGTAACAATCTATCTTGTGTGTTCTTGAAGTATCTAGTTTCTACTTCTGTATTAATAGAGGTATCCAAGTTGCTGTAAATTCAGGGGAGAAAATATTCCAAAATATGTCTTTATACCATCTTGGGTTTTGTTTTTGTTTTTTTTACAAAAGCACATCTTAAGTACTTATTTGTATTAGTTCACAATTAATAACCATAGCTTGTGATTCAGGGTTCATACACATATTCTGCACAGTGAACACAAAAAAACCTCCCATTAACTATTTGTCATAGACATGAATGCTTGATGTTGTCCTTAAACTACTCCCAGCTCACTGGAAAGAAAGCCTCTCCCTGTAATTGTTTGCACCACTGCAAATACAGTGTTTTGTTTTGTTTTGAGTTCTGCTAAGACAAGCTATGTTGAGCATAGTAAGTTTAGCAAAGCAACCAGATTCTCCTGTCAAGCTGCTGGCATGTGGGCAGCACTTTCTCACAGCACTGATAGTTCTGCAGACATCCCTAAAAAGTCATGGAGCCATGGAGCCATCAGAGACCATTAAAATGAAGCTGCCTTTAGTCTCTTCTGCTGTCACTCATGGACCACTTTCCCAACGGATGTCCTTTCCATTTGACACCCCATCCTAGTGGGAAAGGAAGCCAAGTTAACTCTATAGGGAAAAACATGTCTTTTGGTGCTGTGAATACTGGCCCTGAAAGACCCAGTTACCCTCTTTCTCTCCCTCTACTTTCAGCCTCTGCTTTGCCTCTAGGTTGTGTCTACAGCAGAAGAAGCAGGAAAAGAGAAGCAGGGGAGAATGGCTTCTTTGCTGTTAGTTCTTTGGTTCTAGATTGTTATTACAATAAGATCAGACCTGGCATCAGAAGATCCATGGCACCAAAGGAGTCATTCTCATCCTGCCTCTCCTATCTCCAACCTCTGGTGGAGACACATTTCCTACTATGCTTTGTTGCTGAGGCAGATTAGACTTTGGAAGGCAGTCAGCATTTCCTTCAACTGGCATGTGGGAGACAGAGCAGAATTATCAGAGTACTTCTATACAATAAGAAACAATGGGCTTGATTTACAAACATATAGATTTTGATTGGACAACTGGATAACTTTTTAACAATCAGATCTGTTTGGATACCTTTGAGAGGCAATAGATTCTCTTTACTTGACAGATGGATAGCCATCTGTCAGGAATGTTGTATAGTGGATTACTGCACAGGACAATGCTAGTCCCTTCTAATCTTTTATGTTTATGATAAAGGTAAAATAGAAAAAAAGTAATTTTTCAAAAGCCAGAATTGCATAGAATTGTATATTCTGAGGAATACAATGAATATGTAAGAAATTAACAGATAGCTGCCACATTTACATTTACAAAGACAACTGTTTCACAATCTTCTGTTGTTTCTATTCTGTTCAATAGGTGTTGAGTGTTTCTGTTCAATAACCCTCTGGAAAAAAAAACCCTTATTGTGAAATTTATTTATTTATTCCCCCGAATTAGCAGGATGAAGAATAGGAAAGCAACTTCATCATGATTTTCTAAATGTACATGCTGGATTTTCCTGCCTTCTTCTCATAATGAAGTGCTTAGCTCTTGAATGTCCCCTTCAAAAGATAAAAAGAAATTCTTGAGTTTTTAAATTTCAAAATGATTCCACTTTACAGCTTTAAATACTAATTGGTTCCCTTTATAAAAGACCATTCATTCTTTTTTTGACATCCTTTTTCAGCGCTTTTCTTTTGCACCAGTGTTCCCCAAATCAGATGCCATGAATAGTTAGAACTGGCTGTGTCTGCCTTCACTTTCTCCTGTCAGACAGACAAAGGTACAAGCTTCATGTAACATGACTAGAGAAAGAAAAAAAAAGGAAAGAAAATGAACCACTGGTAGTTTTATCTCCAAGAAATATCAGAAGACATATTAAATATGGTCTAGTCAGAAACAGCACTACGGAAGATTGCAGAGAAGCCTAGAAGAAGCCATTAAACCACTGTAGATAATGTGTAGTTTATACACTATTAAACCTGAGGCTAGTTTTTATCAACCAGCTTGAATATTTGAGTAGCCATCATAGTTAAAGAATGTGGAAATCTCTACTGTATAAAATCCCCAGAATTGTTATCCTTGGAAATCATGGAAGTAAGCAACATTGGGTTCAGTCTCTTACCATCCTAGAAAGTTCACAGCACTGGTCAATACCCAATGTTACCTAGTCTGTCTGTTTAGCAGTGATTTGTTTAATATTTTTCTTTACCAACTTGGAGACAAAGCCTAGTGCAATTACTTAAATTCATTTCAAGGGATTTCTGCAGAGGGCAAGGTCAATAGCAAAAGTTAAGATTAGTTCTTAAATACTGAATATATATGCATTATGCTTTGTGGCTACTTTTATATCTCCCTAAATAATCAAAGATTGAACTGCTCCTGAAGAAAAATCTTGTACTTTGAAGTACTGTCCCTCTCTTCTCCTTAAATGACACATTTTAAAGGGACACTAACTGCCTAGGCCAGGGGTCTGCAACCTTGACAACTTTAAGACTTGTGGACTTCAGCTCCCAGAATTCCTCAGCCAGCTGAAG